TAACAACTTTTTTTTTTTTTTTTTTTTTTTTTTAAAAAAACAAGATTGCTACATAAATTAAATATTTTTCAATGAAATTATAATTGAAGAATTATGTTTATTATTTAGTTATAATTTAGGAAACCGAAACTAAATTTTTGGTGACTTATGAATTTTGTTGAGAGAGCTTTGCAAAATCCAGTGCTATTAACATATTTTTTTAATGAGTTATCATTAAAATTTAATTGTTAGACAACCACAATAATGAGGATAATTAATAGATCTCATATATTTTATAATAAACCAGCTTACTTCATAGATAAGTTATTATTCAATAAAATTATGATTAAAATATGATATTTATTTAAAAGGCCTAAATAAAACTTTCTATGACTGGTAAATTTTACAGATAAAGCTTAGCAAAATCCAGTACTATTCTTACATCTTTTTTTATTATTTATTGCTCATTTTTTTTTATTATAAATTCTTTAAAACTTGTACAAATATTAAAGCTGATTTATTTTTACAAATTACTAATGCATTGTTGGCCATCAGATTTTTCTTTGGTAAAAAAAAAAAATAATAATAGTTTGCAATTCTTTTTTATTAATTAAAATAAAGCATTAAACTGTGTGTAAGGAGTTTTAATTAAGTCCTTAGTTATCCCTGGGCCCCTATTGTCTTGTTTTCCTCATTGTGCATGGCCTTGTTTGTGTGTTTTGGTACTAAAAGAATGATTTAATAAACTTGGCACATATTGTGGATATTTTGTTTTAATTGTAGATATTCCAATTTATAATAGTTTAAAAGTAAAATGTGTTAGGTGAATATTTTATAAACAAAATTTGGTTTTTTTTTCTCTCTCTCTAATGGGCCTAATTAGGCCAAAGTCTTTAAAAATTTTATCGGAGATTGTACTAGCTTGAAAAAGTTCTATTAAATAATATAAATTATTGGATCTAAAAATAACCACTGATCACATGGCGGGTGAACAAAAAAAAGTGGAGACTTAAATAAACAAATAGTCCCTTTTTTTTAATGGTTTAATAATAAAAGTACATCAATGCAGAAAGACTCTGTAAAACAAAATTTTCCATAAAATGTCCAATGTCTCCATTCGAAACTTTGGTCTTTTAAAATCCATCAATTTTTGATGGAAAGATTCAAGTGGAAGAAGAGTTCTTTAACTATTCACATATTAAAAAAATTATATTGTATACATGAAATTGTTTTTAAATAGAGTCAGTATGTTTAATTATATTTTGTAGCATATTATTATTTTTATTGTTAAATTAACTTTTTATAGCCGTAGATTATATCTAATATGAATTTTTTTTTTTTTTTTTAAATATATTCCAAGCAAAAAAAGGTTATCAAAAAGTGACTATTTAAACCTGGACTTTTTTTTTTCTTGTGTTCAGAAAATGAGATTTTTTTTCATTGAGTTGAAATACTCCTTGACTTTTTTTGGAGAGTGAGATTTACTTCAGAGGCTTGAAAAATAATTACATTTTAAATTACAGAGATAGAGTTCAAAAAAGAAAAAATAATAATAATAAAATTAGCATATTTGAAATTTTTTGTGCCAAAAATAAAATATCTCAATTTGATTAATAATTCAATAATTTTTTTTTTTCACTTGGCAGCATCTGAACAAAATAAAAAAAATTACTTCATTTCTTTTTTTTTTTTTTTTGAAAAGGGGGAAATTTGAAATTAAGTTATTGACGCCCCCAGCCTGATAATTTAGTTTTTCATTCACCTTTTTTATTTATTCATGTGTGTGTATATATATATATATATATTTATTCATACTTTTAAAAATCTCACTAGTTTTTTTTTTCGTAGGCATTATTACGATACACGAGTTTCGAATTTTAATTGTCAGTTTTGACGCTCTTTACGTGTGCTGATTTCATTGTATTTCCATGCAGTTCCTAAAATCGAGATTTTTTAACACTAAACGTACCAACACTTTACTATACCATAAACAGTAAACAGGTCTTTCGATCGGTTATGGTATGTTTAGTGTTAAATACGTTTTAACGTCTTCTAAATTTTGAATAAAACTCGTTTTGACGTCCTAAATTTGCACTAACTTCATATCGAATCCAAATTACTTTTGATCCTTTTTTTCCGCAGTTATTGCTATGCATTTCCACGTAGCCTTTAAAATTTCAATATTTTTAGCCCGATATTATTAAGAATCGCTCATTTAGATAACAAATTTAGACATGGTCTATTTGTGCCGATTTTATCGCCGATCCAGGTTATTTTTCAATCGTTATTTAGACAATTATTGCTACTCATTTCTACATGGTTTTGAAAGTGACGCTTGAATTTAGAATCCCGCATTTAAATAATCAATTTTTGACGTGCTTTATTTGTGCCGATTTCATCGTAAATACTAAGTGATTTTTCATAGTTTTTTCGGCAGTTATTACTACACTTTTCCACGGGATTTAAATGACTACCTCATATTTTTAAGCCTCATATTTTAAATATTATCTTATTACGACACGCAAGTTTTATATTTTCCATTATAATAATCACTTTTTGATGTGCTGTATGTCCATTTGTGCCGATTTTATCATAAATATGAGAGAAAAACGGTTTTTGGCAGTTGCTGCATTTTTCCTTGTGATTTTTGAAAATCCTGGTATTTTAACACAATATTTTAATTCACAAATTCGATTTTTTTTTTATTTCCAGAAGTTTTTTCTTTTAAATATATTTAAGATTTGTAAAACCTATAGTAAAACCTATAAACTTTCTTTAAATTAAAGTATTTAACTTGCATTTATTTTACTCACTAGAATATTTTTAAGAAAATTTAATTTAATTCTACTAGCGTTAAACTTTCTTATTGTTAAAATGGATTTTT